CGAGTTAGTCATTTTCCCGCCAAAAAATATTACGGGGCCGTACGTAAGAACCAGGAATGCCTGGAGGTAGATCTAATAAATTTTTGTCGTACATGTGCTAAGAGCATTCCCTGAAAATTTTAGCCTTCTAGCTTTCCTGGCTACCGAATTAGCCATTTTCCCGCCAAAAAGTTTTACAAAGCCATAAGTGATAACCACGTAAGCCTGGGGGCTAAATTCGAAAACTTTAAGTTGTACATGTGGTGAAAACACTCCCTGAAAATTTCAGCCCCCAGCTTTCCTGGTTCCCTAGTCAGATATTTTTGCGCCAGGAACTCCTACGGGCCCATGCATGGGTACCACACATATCTGAAGGCTGAATTTGAAACTGTTGAGTTTTATGAGGACGGAAAACATAACCTCGAATTTTCAGTTTTCTAGCATTTCCGGGTCCCGAGTCAACGATTTTCCCACCAAAACTTTCACCCTGTCGGACGCGGGGCCCAGAGATGCATGAGGGATGGCGGCACTTTGTCGGAGAACTTACTGGCAAAATTTTGGCACCGCAGCTTGCTTAGATTCCGAATTGAAATATCCGGGCGGACGCACGCATGCACAAACACACACATACATACATACACACACATACACACCGGATCGTTGCAATATGCGTTTTTGTATTTGCACATATGCAACCCAGGCTGGAACGCACCAGGCTCCCGGTGCGATCATGCGTTTTTGCACTAAACTCACACGTCGCTATTAGCAGGAATGATCCCTACGCTGTAGCCTAACACTTGGGCCAATATTGGCCGTGCTTTGACCCTTTCTGGCATGCAGGAGGAAGGGCATCAGTTGAGATGGCGGTGCATTATAGAGCCGCACGTACATCCAGGTACATGATTAACGGTTTTTTGCATGAAGTCCGGTCGTTTTTTCGTAAATGCTTGCTTTGTGAAAAAATGACAAACGCATTTTTTTTGGAAAAATGCAAACTTCTAGTTCACTAAAAAGTGGAAGTATTGCTCGAGGGATCGTTTGTCAAAAAATGCACGTTCATTTACATATACGATTGCGGTTAAGGTCCGAGCTGCGAACGAATTTTTGAAAATATGCAAATCCGAGCGGTCGTTTCCAAAAAAACCGTGTTCATTTACATATACGATTGCGGTTAAGGTCCGAGCTGAGAACGAATTTTTGAAAATATGCAAACAGTTCATTGGAAAAATGAAAGTACTGCTCAAACGGTCGTTTTTCAAAAAAATCTGTGTTCATTAGCATATACAATTGCTGCTCAGTTCCGAGTTGCAAACGGTTTTTGGGCTCAGGAGCTGCTTGAGACTGTGGTTGAGAAGCTAGAGAGCTGAGTTTAAAACTTTTATCTCGCACGTGCATAGAGAATATCCTTGCAAAGTTTCAGCTTTCTACGTTGCCTGGTTCGCGAAATCGTTTCCTGCCGACAAATTTCGTGGGGGATCCTGTACGCGGGGTTTAGGCGTGTATGGGGAAAGACCTTAAAACGGGAGGATGGCACACGGGGTAGGAACATATGTCCAAAGTTTCAGATTCCCAGCTTTCCTGGTTGCTGAGATGAAAGTGGGCGACGAAATGCACTCGCTTTCCGCACACACACACATACAGCCTCTCGATAATGTGCGTTTTTGCTATAGCGCTGCACAGCAAAAAAGCATAAAAAGCAGCTGCACTTCTAACATTTTTTAGAAAAAGCTCTTTATCAGGAAACTGTACGGACCCCCGTATTTTCTTCCCCTCTCCCCCTCCTCTTTCATCGGTATTTTGTTGGTTCACTCACTCGCCTTTAAAATTTTTTTCTACCTGATAAAACCGCGTGTTGGCCTCTCGTGCAATTGCTTGCGACAAGCGTGTTTTACCTGAAAGAAATGGAGCTCATGTACTGGCTAAATTTTCCATACAAAACCAGCTTACTGCGTATGGAGAATTTACCCAAGAAAATAAGAAAAATCAAACCTGTCCCGGGTGGACCATAAAGGAGAATGCAACGCCAAGGAATAAGACCCGACAAAGCAAACCATTCCGGATACAGTACTGGGTCCACAAGAGCTTGTACGAGTGCTTGCTTTGCCTGTAGAATTCATGAGTCAAAACACTAACACTTAACAGTAAAGAAACTCGCCACCAAATTGATTGCAAGAAGGAGTTATTGACAGCCTTGCCAGCTTGTGGTTGTTGTTCGCATTTGCTTGCATTCAGGCTATTGTAGAGTGCATTCGCCTCTTGCAGAGGAGGAGTACGGAAGGGGTTTTAACTTACAGCTCATGATTAAAGAACGATAGTAAATGAAGTGTAATATTGGTTCAATAGTAGTACTGACGTGTTTCATAGCTAGTTATGTCTCGAGTTACTTTTGCGCTTATCTTAACGTCTACCTACTTTTTCTGGCCTACGCCTTCTCTTTCGAAATTCACTACGAATCCTGTTTTAGCACAGTAGGTCTGTCATAGCTGCGGCAGACGCATGAGAGAATATAAGTAGCTTTATTAACACGGGATACTCACACTACTGAAAAAACTTAGTCGAAAGCGGACCGGCTGCCGGTACGAGGATGCGTTTTTTGCACAGTTCACCCGCAGCTTTTTCATGCTAGTGGCACGCTCTTCCCTGCAGGTGCTTCTAGCTGAAAGAATTGTGACTGGCCACCATGACTGTTAGAAATTATTACAATGACTCCCAATCCATGCGCAAAAAATTCAGCCCTTTGGATGCTTCGGTTGCGGAATTACGCCAAATACCACGTGTTCGTACGTGAGTAGCAACGTGAATGTTTTCTTCGCTTGGGGTTACTTAAAGACGACCCTAGGTAGTGCTCAAACAGTTTCAGTACTCAGGCCGCTCTGGTTGCAGAGTTACGTCAAATTTCACGTGTCCGTACGTGAATGCATGGGAGCTGACTGCAAAACTGGAAAAGATAGTCCATTTTGCATCACTACAGGATAAGCTGATGGAAACTAGGGGCCGACTGTTGAGATTCCACGCGCAGAGATGGAGAGAATACTATTTCACCCATGCTGGACCACTGAAAACATCTGATGAGTGACGCAACATTATAGAGGTCACTAAGGTCACACTGGCTCATCGTCACTGGGAACACTATCAGTTGACCGACAAATGTAAGTGCGAAGGAATTACGTATAAAACCAGAAGCTGTACGGAGGATGGACAGCCCTCCGTAACGAAATGTAGGCCGACCAATTAGACTTAGTCGAAGGCGTGCCGGCTGCCGGTACGAGGATGCGTTTTTTGCACAGTTTCCTCGCAGGTTTTTTTCGCCAGTGGCACGTTCTTCTCGGCAGATGCTTCTAGCTAAAAGAATTGTGACTGGCCACCATGACTGTTAGAAATTATTACAATGACTCCCAATCCATGCCCGAAAAATTCAGCGCTGTGGATGCTTCGGTTGCGGAGTTACGTCAAATTCCACGTGTTCATAAGTGAATGGAACGTGAACGACTTTTTTGCCTGCGGTTGCTCAAATACGGTCCTGGGTAACGCTCGGAAAGTTTCAGCTCTCTAGCTGCTCTGGTTGCAGGGTTACGTCTAGTTTTACATGTGTACACGAGAAACGTGAAAGTGATGTGGTTGTTTTTGCGTGCATCTGCTCAAAGGCCACTGTCGGTAATGCTCAGAAAGTTCGGGTTCTCTGGCTGGTTCGAATCTAAAGTTGGAAAAGCGCACGCGTGAAATTTTCACGTGTTCGTACGTGAGATGCAGAAGAGTGGCAAGCAAATTACTTCCACGGAAACAACAATAGGCGACAAGTAACGCTGCAAAGTTGCAGCTAGAGAGTTTAAATCCGGAATTGGCATGATGCCAGTTCAGTTTAAATCCGGAGTTTAAATCCGGAATTGGCATGATGCCAGTTTAAACTTCGACGCGTATGTACGTGAGTCCTGAGGGTGCGTGAAGGCTGAATTTGAAATCTTTGGATTGGACGCGGCCAAGGAACAAGTCCGTGAAGTTCCAGCCTCCTAGCATGGGGCTTTCCCAAAAACACTTTTCCGCCAAAAAACTTTCACATGCCCGTACCTGAGAACCACGCGGGACCAAGTGTCCATTTTGAGGATGGGGGCCCGCAATTATGTGTAGATTAATTTATCAAAGTTTCAGCCTTGTAGTTTTTATGGATCTCGAGATGAACACTCGTTACAGACGTATACACAGACACAAACACATACATACACACACACACACAGACAACCCCTTGATAATATGCGTTTTTGCATTGCACAGCTGCAAAAAACGCATAAAAGTAGATTTTATGTGGGAAACTTTGAAACGAATAATGCCAGAAAACTGGAAAGTTTTTGCATATATGTAAACGCAGAAACGCATGCTGTGACGTGTGTGTGTGTGTATGTGCATGTATGTGTGTGTGTGTGTGCATGTGTGTGTGCATGCGTGTGTGTCCGAATATTTCAACTCGGCAACCAAGCAGGCTTTGATGCGTAAGTTTTGCTACCGGGTACCCTGGCTCTGTGCTACTCGAGGAACGCAGTACCAATTTTCACACGAATCCGAGCCCCAGCACGGACACGTGGAAGTCTTGGCGAAAAATAAGTTGGGAACAAGAAAAGATGGGAAGTTCTAAAAAGTTCCCGCTAAGTACAACTTAAAAATTTCAAATTCATCATCTAGATACTCGCGATTCTCATGTAAGAAGCACGTA